TTTCATATTAGTGACAAACAATAACAGTAACAACAGTTTTTGACAAATTTAAATTTTCTTTAAAACCGAGATGTTTAAAAATAAACTACAATTAATTTAAAGTACAAATGAAAATATAGTTCTGCAACTGTATTTGATAATGTTTTGAATTTTTTAAATATTTTATGGTAAAAACAGAAGCTGTACTTCATATAAGTGACAAACTTTGGCCTTTTTTGACGGGTTACTTTCATTTTTCCTTCTACTTTTCTTTAAAATAAGTTTCCATTCTCGGCAGGTTTCCAAGGTTCTTCTTCTACATATTAAAAAGTTGTTAAATATCTGAGTGGCGCACTACCGCTACTAGTGGTGAGAAAATGTATTGCACCTTATTCAAAATCAATGTGGTCCCCCGGCCCTCTGCGGCCCAAAGTTAAAACCTGTTGTTCCTTTGAGGCCCTCAAGGTGGCGCTCACGGCCCACAATTGGGCTGTGGCCCATAGGTTAACCCCAGATTTATACTGCATGCGTCTCCGCTCCGCTGCGCAGGTCACAGCTGTGTGTTTCAAGTCCAGTTTTCACTACCTCCGCTCCGCTCCAGTCCGACAGACGTGCAGGAAGGAGATCGCGTGATAAATTAAGTGATAAGTGTGGAAGTCACAGCAAAAAATATTTAATTCTGTGAAAGACGAACTCCAAACAGCTGAAAACATTGATATAAAGACTTTTAGTATCTATGTTGAAACTGTCACGCTGTCGTCTTTCTGAAACTTCTGATTTCAAAATAAAATCCACGTGTATCGTGTGTGTACACATATGCTTCATGCTACATGTTTCCATCTGCTTCCCAAACAGAGCGATACATTCTGACAGCATTTGTGTAGAAATATACCCGTATTTTTATTAATATAGCTGGGATTTCAACATAATTCCAACAAATTATTCCGCCGAATATTGTCTTATTTTGAAAATACGGATGTTGTGCTAGTGTCTTTTCCTGTTTGTGCGACGTAATCTTTAAAAATTGACTCCGATGCTGCTCCAGCATCTGGCAAAAATAGGATCTGTTCTAATGTTGCCGGATCGCCGTCTGCTCACCGCCGCCCTGCGCAGCCAGTGTAAACACTCTCATTGATTATAATGGGTGTGTATTTGCTGCGGAGGTCGGACCGGAGCGGAGACGCAACTCACGTAGTGTAAATTAGGGGTGAGAATCTCTGATTTGAACGACGTGTAGATGAGGTATTTATTCATTATTTTTGACATGTTTTAATCAAAGCACTATAGCTGCCTATTTGGGTCACATATGAACCTATATAAACTTAATAATAAACTCAAATGAATGATTTGTCCACTGTTTTTGTGTGTTTTGTTTGTGCAGATGTTGGCAGTGGAGATTCCTGTCTGCTTCTCTTCCTTCTTTGTCTGGTTACTGTAGTGATCAGTATCGGTGGCACGGCTCTTTACTGTGCTTTTGGTGACGCCCAGTCCTCGGTCTGTCAGGACTTCTTTAGAAACGCAGACTTCTACATGGACCAGATACACCGCAGGATCTCTCAGCTCCAGCTCTGGTTTGCTCCCGGCTCGTAGCAGAAACCATCTGTCTTCATTTTGGAGCCACTGACAGGTGGAGACCTGCAGCTCCTGCTTCATTCTGACTATGGAGGTAATGTTATCTCATAGACACTGAAGAGCCTGGTGCCATTTGTAGGAAATGGCTGCTAATGGCTGGACTTCTAGTTCAGATGCATTTGGCACTTTAGGCTCACTGAACTTTTAATACCCTGTAAATACAATTCCAGGGTACTTATGAAGTTGTAAAACAGATGTTCCATAATAATAGTTGGAAGGAATTTCAGCTCGCACAGACTTAAAGATTAAGACCCAATTAAATTTTCCTATGAATAAAATAATCTGACATTGACCCTTTTAGTCCCCCAGACTGCTGTAGAGGTGGAAAAAGACCTGAGAAAAATTGATGAATATTTAAAGTGAATGAAGAGAACAAAAAAAGTTGATTATTAAGTTTTAAACTCAGAGACAATTATCTCAGTCATGTCAGACGTTGGTCTGTAGCTCCTTCAGTTAAGGTTAAAGCAGATGACAGCTGCAAAACATGGAAATAAAAAAACTTTGCTGCGTAGTTTAACCACTGTTCAAAAACAGTTTTTTAAAAGTTGTTTTATTGTAATGTTTTTTAAATAACTACAAAGTTTACAAAGGGGTGGGAGGGTGGAGCATTATGACATCTTCCATTTTAAATTTGTCGTCGCTCAGAAAGTAACACAAAAACGCGTACAATAGGCCCAGGTCAGGTCCAGCTCAGGCCCAGGTCGCCCTTGAAAAGGAGATCTGTGATCTCAGTGGGATTTGCCTGGTTACACAACCGTAAGTAAATAAAGAAAAACAGAAAGTTTGTCATCACTGCGTCACCCCCCCGAGCTGTGCTGTCAGCTGTAGGGTCCGTCGTACTTCAAAAACGTGAGGAGGGGCATCTCCATGGTGTTATTTGAGACGGTCTTTTCCTCACAGACTAGGCCTTCTCAAAAGAGAACCCATGGGAAACACATGGTGATAGGTCGTCCCGCTGCAGCGATCAGAACCAACACAGAGAGCTGCTGTGAAACATCTGGGCTTTCTGTTGTTAAAAGAAGAGAAGTAGATTTGTCAGGAACAGAGTTTACAACAGACGATGCACCGACTTTGTTCATCATTTTTACTGGAACAGCTGTAATGTTGGCTGTATTCTCTCACAGACTCGACCCGCTGCCTCTGCTGCAGAGGCTGCTCAGAGATGAGCTCACTGCAGCCGTTTTATATTAAAGGGATCCCTGATTAGTTGTAACATTAGACTTTATTTGATAAAAAAAAATTTTTAACTTTAAAATAAAGACTGTAAAAATACTGTAAGATGTTTAGTTTTGTAAATTTTTAAAAATATATTTTAACATAGACGGAGCCATTTTATTTACACACAAAGCATTCTGGGTAAATGATGACGTGGATAGGTCCTCAGTGTGAGCGAGCTATATCCACCCTGAAGGTTAATCTTGGACAATATCTGATGATCGACTCTTTTAAATGAAACCAGAGAGCGTTGACAGAGAGGAGAAGGTAGAAATGACTCAGCCTGGAACTGAAAATATGGATGGAGGACAACAGAGCTGCTTCATGGAAGAAGAACCTCAGCTTAGCCTGTTAGCCTTTGCGGTGGCGCCAACGCTATATTACCTTATATGTATTAGCTCAGCGCTAGCACGACAAACAAGCTAAACTGAGGTCCTCCATCCATATTTTTAGTTGCAGGCTGAGTCATTTTTGTGTTCCCCTCTCTGTCATGTGGATGGAGGACCTCAGTGACAAGAGGAGAATATGTAGCACTGAGCTAATACATATATATGGTGATAGCCTCAGGGTTAATGCTAAAGCTAACAGGCTAAGCTGAGGTTCTTCTTCCATGAAGCAGCTCTGTTGTCCTCCATCCATATTTTCAGTTCCAGGCTGAGTCATTTCTACCTTCTCCTCTCTGTCAACGCTCTCTGGTTTCATTTAAAAGAGTCGATCATCAGATATTGTCCAAAATTAACCTTCAGGGTGGATATAGCTCGCTCACACCAAGGACCTATCATTTACCCAGAATGCTTTGCGTGTAAATAAAATGGCCCCGTCCGTGTTAAAATATATTTTTAAACTTTTAGCTAAAAATGATAAAAACTAAACATCCTACAGTATTTTTACAGTCTTTATTTTACAGTTAAAATATATGTTTATCAAATAAAGTCTAATGTTACAACTAATCATGGATCCCTTTAACAAACAAGTCCTGAACAGTCTGTGCTCCATGCATAGTGCTGTGAGGACCAGCTCTGACTGAGGGTCAGTGCACAACGAGGGGTCTCAGCAGGTGGGAGCAAATTACACACATTTCCTCAAACACAGACGCGAGAAGAGGCCTTCTCTTTGACACAAACACACTTTACTGTCGTGTCTCGATTGTTACGGTTCTGTCTCTACCTCACTGTGTAACTCAGAGGTGTAACAGCAGCGGGTTGATTGGAACCTTCCTTGCTGCCGTGGTTCTGACATAAATCACACACAGACAACAAGAAGTCGTCTCAGGCCTGGAAAGAAACTGATTTTTGACAGAGGTTTGCAATAGTTAAATGTTTTCTAACAGATTTTTCTAAAAAGTGAGAATTATTTGCCACATCTTGGTCTTCCTTAAATGTCATTTAGATAACATTGACCATATTTTTAAAATAGGTTTTATGTGTTTAAATTATATATTTATCTTTTTTTTTTCAAAAAAGAAAAAGTTTGTCTGAAAAGACTATTTCTTATGAAAATAAAAGAGGCTTTTCATGAAATTTGCTTACATTTAAAAACTATTCATTTTGAAATCATTGCTCTAACTTGAACCCATTTTTTATTGTAAACAAAGTCTTAATAAGGCTGTTTTACAGCCTAATCCCACCTTTGTTCAGCAACCATGACTTTAACTTGTTTTTAATGTTTCACACAGCTTGGCTTTGTTTTTAATAATTTTACTGTAATTTGCTGTCTGTGATGGATCAGTTATATTTGGAAATCCACAAACTCTACATTGGGGGTCTTAATTGTCAGAAAGGGAAGAAGACAAATGTCTGTAAAAGATCGACTCGTGTCTTAACGAAATTATTTTCTACTAAAATGCGGAAGAGTGTTTGAAATATGAGGATTTTCCAGGAGATAAGATTATTGATCTGCTCACGTTTTGGTTTGCACATGTCAGCTGGCTGGTTCAGATGACCATTACAACAAAAAGACATATTATTTAACCTTTTATTTTAATTATATATGACAGGTGTGTCATTTTTGGTGGTTTAGGAAAAAATGCAGATGTATTTTTATTTTTATTTTTTGGTTTGTGTCCAACATTGTCTGAATTGTTTTTTATGTCTTTCATCATCACATTGTAAAGAGACTTTGATAGAAATGATTCTTCTGAGCATTTTCATGTAAAACATCATTTTACTGTTTGTCTGTTTGTGATGTGAAACCTTTGTGTTTCTACTGTCGCTATCAGTTTAGTTTTCTTAAGAAGTCTCTTGCTGACGTAAACATTTTTCTGGTACAAATTTTAATGTATTGTTGTCATAAGAATAACAGTTTTATTTATATTCTCCCCCCTGTTTCTAATAAAACAAGTAATTTGCTTCATCAGCAGTTGACTGATTTTTTCTCAGATTTATGTTTGAGGCCAGTTGAGTTGGTGGTTTCAGTTTGGCATCAGTTTTCCTCTTTAGACTGGTCTGTAGTGTTTGGACCAGGAGGGTTTTATTCCTCTAAATGTTAGATAAATAAAGAAAACCTTGATGTGACAGTTTTATGTCTCTGTGTTTGAGATTTCTAAAATGTTATATTATTTTGCTCTCTGACAACAAAAACAAAACACAAATAAAAGTACTCCCAGTCTTTTGATAATTGTGTGTGTGTGTGTGTGTGTGTGTGTGTGTGTGTGTGTGTGTGNGTGTGTGTGTGTGTGTGTGTGTGTGTGTGTGTGTGTGTGTGTGTGTGTGTGTTCTGCACTAGAACTGATGGCACGAATGAGACCTTGTTTGCACTTTCAGACCTCAGAAAAAAAAAAAAAATTCCAGGTGAAAGTTTTAAATATGTACACCACTTTGTAACGGTTCAACTTGTTCTGACTCATGTAATAAAGCTGAATGATTATTTCTCACTCTATTAAAGATTGTCTCATTTCTTGAAAAAAAAAAAACTAATTTAAATATCAACCACACAAGTAACAGAACTGAACACTTTGTTTTAAGTCAGTTGTCCTAGCTATTTATTTTGTACAACATATTTGCATATATTTGTTGGGTCACATTCATATTATCATACCTAATGTTTAATATAATATTGTTAGGAGTTGTTGAAACCACTTTTCTCAGAAATGAGTTTCTGATTTAAGACGTTATGTCGATTAAGCACCACACGAGGGCGCTATTTCTTTAGGGAAAAATAAAACAAATAATTAACATTTTATTTGAACAAGCAATAATTTAAAACATTTATATATTTGATTAAAACGTATGTTTCAGAACAGATATTGAGACATGACCAAAAGTAACTAAAATAAAAAGAACCGGTTATCCAGTTTCAGTTTATTACGTGATTGTGACGTAAAGACGCAGCGCGTAATGCGGATGTAAACATTACTTGACTCACGTGGATGGAGGAGAAAAAGGCAACAATGCCACAGACGGTGGAGCGTTTCGTCAGTCCTGGGAAAGGGAACGGACTTCGTGCCACTGCCAGGATGAGCAGAGGTCAGCTGGTGATGTCCGCCGAGCCGCTGGCGTCCTGTGTGTCCAACAAACAGGCCAGAGAAGTCTGCCACCACTGCTTCACACGGTGAGACCGATGAGAAAGGCGGTGCTAACATGGGTCCTGCCCTCTGAGGCCAAACTAGGAGCAGTGTAGTTGATAAACTGCATGTTCACATTGTGAAAAAATTACGTGTGCAGCTGTAGTTTGATGGATTTATACAGGACTAAATGCTAACTGTAGAAATGTAATTCTCTGACTGTCCAGCAGATGGCAGCAGCGTTCTTCAGTTCAATGGTTTTATGATTACTGCTGTTATTGTCTAATTCTAGTTTGTGAAAAATGTTTCTCAAAGTAAATTGTTTTTCATGTACTAATTTTAAAGACCTCTCCACTTTTTGTCTCAAGTCAAAACACCTGAACAAACATCATTTCATTTTATTTTACACGAAGGGAGAAAGACACACTTACAGTGCAGCGGAGCTCATCTTTTTTTATTTTGTGGCTCCTTTTTTAATTTAATTTTATTTATTAAATGGCACTGCAAATAGTATACAGTAACAAATGGATAACACAATAAATCATATTTCCGTTGTGGTCCTCAAAATTGTTTAGCAGAGGTGACTTAATGTATCTAAGATGTACAGTCGCTCTTTCAGCTGTATTGATGTGATGATTTTGTTTTAATCTGAATGCATTATTGCAACAGAGCTGCTTTCTTTGATTTTACTTATCTTTTCCTCTCTTTTTACTTATTTTAAATCTGTATATCCAATCTTGGTCTTCAAGGACCACGATCCTGCATGTTTAAGAGGTTTCTTTGCACCAACACACCTGATTTAAATCAATGCATGATTAACAAGCCTCTGCAGAACATGAAGAGATAATTCAACCATTGACTCAGGAGTGTTGGAGCAGAGAAACAAGTAAAACATGTAGGATGGCGGCCCTGAAGGACCAGGATCGAACTCCCCTTCTTCTGTATGGACATGTGTGAATTTAACGAGGCTGGCCTGGCAGGGACACAGCTGCACTGAGTTTAGGCTCAACAAGAGCAAAGTGAATGAAGGCTAAATTACTGAGGCATGTATGCTGGAACTATATAATGATATGCCAGTCAGTTAGCTATTATTACCTCAAAAAAAAAAAACCTCACACAGAATATGAGATACTCAGTTTTAACATGGTAGTCTGGCATTTATTCAATATTTTAAAAAAATCCACCTTTCAGCTCAAGAAGATGGAGTTATAACAAGAGGAATCAATAAAAATTACAGAGCTTACAGCTTCACTGAATCCCCTTAATTTTCTGTGTGTGTGTGTGTGTGTGTGTGTGTGTGTGTGTGTGTGTGTGTGTGTGTGTG